ACCATTATAATGACATGTGAAAAGATCTGGAGTTAGAAAACCAAGGGGAAGAACATGCTCGGCACTTCTCAAGCTGAAAGAACTGAAGAAAAAAGTCAAGTCTTGAGTAGCAATATTGAAGGATTCTATGAGGAAAATACTGAACGACTCAGGAAGCATCAAAAGAAGATGGAAGGAATACACAGAGTCACTGCACCAAAAAGAATTGGTCGACATTTCAATCATTTCAGGAGGTAGCATATAATCAAGAACCGATGGTAGTGAAGGAAGAAGTCCAAGCTGCACTGACAGCACTGGCAAAAACAAGGCTCCAGGAATTGATGGAATACCAACTGAAATGTTTCAACAAACACATGCAGTGCTGGAAGTGCTCACTCGTCTATGCCAAGAAATTTGCAAGACAGCTACCTGGCCAACTGACTAGAAGAGATCCATATTTATGCCTATTCCAAACAAAGGTGATCTAACAAAATGTGGAAATTATCAATCAAAATTATCAACTCAACAGCAATGGGTTTGGTTTTTTGGTTTTATCATTAATGTTACATGCAAGTGAAATTTTGCTGAAGATCATTCAAAAGCAGTTACAGCAGTACATTAACAGGGAACTGCCAGAAATTCAAGCCGGATTCAGAAGACTTGGAATGAGGGATATCACTGGTGATGTCAGATGGATCCTGGCTGAAAGCAGAGAATACCAGAAAGATGTTTACCTATGTTTTACTTTCTATGCAAAGGCCTTTGACTGTATGGATCATAACAAATTATGGATAACACTGTGAAGAATGGGAATTCCAGAACACTTAATTGTGCTCATGAGGAACCTGTACACAGACCAAGAGGCAGTTGTTTCAACAGAGCAAGGGGATACTGCGTGGTTCAAAGTCAGGAAAGGTAAGCATCAGGGTGGTATCGTTTCACCATACCTATTCAATCTGTATGCTGAGCAAATAATCCGAGAAGCTGGACTATATGAAGAATGGGGCATCAGGATTGGAGGAAGGCTCATTAACAACCTGCGATATGCAGATGACACAACCTTCCTTGCTGAACGTGAAGAGGACTTGAAGCGCTTACTGATGAAGATCAAAGACTATAGCCTTCAGTATGGAATTCACCTTAACATAAAGAAAACAAAGATCCTCACAACTGGACCACTAAGCAACATGACGATAAATGGAGAAAAGATTGAAGTTGTCAAGATTTCGTTTTATTTGTATCTACAATCAACACCCGTGGAAGCAGAAGTCAAGGAATCAAATGATGCATTGCTTTGGGCAAATCTGCAAAAGACCTCTTTAAAGTGTTAAAAAGCAAAGATGTCACTTTAAGGACTAAGGTGTGCCTGACCCAAGCCATGTTGTTCTCAATCGCCTCACATGCACGCAAAAGGTGGATAATGAATAAGGAAGACTGAAGAAGAATTGATGTCTTTGAATTATGGTGTTGGCGAAGATTATTGAAGATACCATGGAGTACCAAATCTGTCTTGGAAGAAGTACAACCAGAATGCTCCTTACAAGCAAGGATGGCAAGACTTCGTCTCACATACTTTGGACATGTTATCAGGAAGGACCAGTTCCTGGAGAAGGACATCATGCTTAGTAAAGTAGAGGTTCAGTGAAAAAGAGGAAAACCCTCAATGAGATGGATTGACACAGTGGCTGCAACAATGGTCTCATGCATAACAATGATTATGAGGATGGCACAGGACCAGCCAGCGTTTTGTTCTGTTGTACATAGGGTTGCTATGAGTTGGAACCAACTTGAGGGCACCTAACAACAACAAAGCCAGTAAGTGACCATCAGGATTCAAATTCAGGTCCCCTGACATGCAAAAGCAGGTTGCTTCCACCAGACCACACTGCCCCTTTCTCCAGTAGTCTAAATTCTACTGTGCTGTATCAACTTCTCCTTCCTGACACATAAAGAAATAAGTCCAACATCATCTTCCCTGATCTTGTCCCTCCAGAGACTCACTTCAGATCCCCAGAGACAGATCTGCACCCACAAGCCTTCTCCGCTCTGGGGCCCCAAGTCCCCCAACTTCTGGCCTGGTCTTCTGAACACAAACGTAGAATCAGCACCCACATTAAGTGAATTACTTCACTGAGACATTTATGAATTTGTTCAAAGCTAGGCTGGCATGCTGGGGGCTGATGACTAGTGCGTTTTAGAACCTTACTACCCAAATTATGATCTAACCAGTAGCAGCCCCTTGGAGCTTGTTAGAAATGCAGACATCCCAAAGCTACTGAATTAGCACCTGCTTTTTAAGTAGATTCCCAGGTGATTCATTTGCACATTAAAGCCTGCCAAGCACTAAATTAGGCCTGAATCCCAGGGGAAGCAGGCTTATGCCCACCTCTGTAACTGACCCTCTGTGGCTCTTGGCTTGGTTGTTAGGGGCAGCTGCGAGTTGGTTGATGATGCTATTGTAAGGAAAAACTTGGATATTAAATTGCAACAAGGCCTGGGAGATGATTCAACAAGGAGAACTCTGGCTATCTTATTGCAGCCAGCATCAGCCCGGTGGACTAGATGAAAAGCCCAAAAGATCTGTTACAACAAGAGTTTAAAAGTCTTATTGCCACCCCCAAACAGTCTATAATGATGCAACAAAGTGGAGAAATGGATAGGAGTCTTGATTTTAACTAAATCGGGATATGCTAAATTAGAAAAACGTGTTGCCATCGATTCCAACTCATAGCAACCCTATAGGACAGAGTAGAACTGCCCCATAGGGTTTCTAAGGAGCAGCTGGTGGATTTGAACTGCCGACCTTTTATAGTTAGCAGCCGAGCTCTTATCCATGGTGCCACCAGGGCCCCAAGTTGGAAAGTGTTTTAAATATGTTTGTAGAACTGGAACTGTACTATTTATAATACTGTCCTGGACACCTAAGTGACACTGGGACATGGCATTGAAACATCTTTAAGGCCTTGTGACAAGATTCTCTGCTAACAACAACAAAGAAAAGCATTCGCCTGACAGAATCTGGACTATTACGCTGACTGCATTTCAAACTGGAATGGATTGTAAACACTGACTGGAATCTAGTTGTTCTGTTGCAACAAGTTTGGATTTGCTATCGAAACAAATCGACAAGCCTGTGGCTGGGGGCGAGCAGGGCTCCTTTACTGCAACAGGACCTTGCAGAGTGCCCCATTGTGCCAGTGGCCTGGAGAGGCTGTGGCCCTGACCAGAGAGACTCCTATCACAAGGGGGAATTATACTGAGATGCCGCACTGTTATAATGGCAAGACTTATAAAACTGCATCGCCACAAGTGTAAGGACAGCCAATTGTTACGCAGGACTGTGGGGACTCCATAATGATAAGCAGCCTTTGGATGCTTCAGCAACCCTTTGGCAGGGCAGCAATGTTATCCTATCTTACAGCGGAGGAAACTGAGGCTCAGAGAAGTTCAGGGGGTCATTCAAGTTCTCATGACTGGTGAACAGCAAGGTGGGACAGCAGACCTCCACCTTTTGGCTACATACTACACTTTCTTGCAGGGAGACTTTGAATATGCTTTGAAACAGGATCAGGAAACTTGTGGAAAGAAAAACATGCATAGTTTACCTATTCAAACCTGGAATATTGTGTTGGAAAATTTTAAGGATCCGGATATGCTATAAGGTTAAGATCCAAATATCTTCTAAGAGATCCTAGGTGTCTGGAATTTGACCCATAGGGTGACAGCAAATCAAAGATGTAATTACAATAAATCTTTGTTGGCTTAATAGGAAGAGACCTGCGTTCAAGTTTTGGTTCTATCACTTCTTGGCATATAACCTAGGCTAAAATCTAGTTTCTCTGAGTTTGGCAAAATCATACTCATTAAGGTCCAGCTCAAAATCACCACCTTTGTGAAGCCATCCCAGATTCCCCTACACCCCTACCGCTCCAGAGAGGTAGCACCTGGCTCCTCCCATCTTCACGATTTAATGAAAGTTTGGGGTTTATTGGCATTGCAGTTACTGTCTTTCCCCACTAGAACCGAGTTCATCTTTACGGATTTAGCTAGTCACAGAGCCCAGCTCTATGCCAGGCAGTCGCATAGAAAACCAGGATATAATTAATGCACCTGCAATGTGGCCACAACCCCTCAAACACCTCTTGGCCACCAAACTCGAGGCTTCCCTCTATAACAAAGGTCCACACAGCGGGCAGAACCCCGACTCTCCCCAGCCACCCCACAGACTGTAAGCACGTCGAGGCACGGGGTGGACGTCTTTGCGCGCAGCGGCGCGGTGCCCACCCCTTGCCCCGCGCGCCCAGCATGCTGTCCAGCACCGCGGGTGTCGAGCAAACATTCGTGGACTGGGACGGAGCAGAGACAGGGCCAGGAGACACTGCAAGTAGACGCCGACACTTGACTGCACTCGGGCAGCGCTTGTGAGCGCCCCACGGGGGCCGGGGGAGGGGCGAGGGCCACTCGGTCCAGCCGGGCGCCTGCCCCTCCCGGGCGGGCGGGCACCCACCGACAGCGGGCACACAAAGCCCGCTCGGTGTGCTCGGCGATCTACTCCTCGCGTCTGTCTCGCCACGCGCCGCCGGGCGGCTCCAGGTTGGGTGGCGGGCTGTGGCAGGCACTGGGCGTCAAGAAGCTGCACGCATCGAACCGCCGCGGGAGGGAGCGCGAAGGCGGGGGACAGATGAGGAGGAGGAGTGGGAAAGGGAGGAGGGAAGAGGAGGAGTAGGGACCGGGCGGGGGGTGGAGGAAGAGGCCTCGAGCAGAGGAGGGAGCAATTGAATTTCAAACACAAACAACTGCACGAGCGCGCACCCACCGGGCCGGAGCGTTGCCCCCGATCCGCGCCCGCCCCGTCCGTGCGGCGCGCAGGCGGAGACGCCGTGGCTGCGCCGGAGGTCGGG